ACAAATTTTTAGTGAACGGGTCGTCCTTATTGATTCTGCAGTAAATGGTACTAACTTAAAAGAAATTTTGTCCAATCTCTATATAGCAGATAACCACAATAAGGAACGATCTGCTTGTTTTGGAACCCTAAAATAATATAAAGACACTTCTTTCATATCCTTTATTTTTGCTAAATCTTATTACTTACTTGTGGAATGTAACATTTGAATCTATTGGCAACAGTCTTCTTATGTTCTTGTAAGATCTTACAAGACATCTTGAATAAAGCCCAGTATAGAGAACTTATACTGGGATTAAAGTCTATTCACAAATGTTAAAATAAATAAAACGTTTATACACTTAGAAAATAATATCCACAATCAAAATATTCTAAAATAACACAAAAAAAATTAACCAAATTCACAAACACATTAAAATTTGACACTTTTGACAGATGGAAAGATAAATTGGTTGCATAAGTTTCAGTTTGTTTATATAAAAATGGCGGTCATTTCTATCTTCTTTTATTAAACAGTCAGTAAAGATGCGCAGAGGGTTTTACGCCGTATACCTATTTAAGTATGTGAATGGCACTAATAAAAATTCTCGTACACTGGTTCTCATGAACATTTCTTATTTATAAAATCTTTCATATTTACAAACTCTCGAATTTGGCCCTTTTAGAACCAAGTCACAAATTTATGGATGGTTAAAATTTGAACCCACAATGAATGGTTTACATAATTTTCTTCGTTCTAAACTGTCTAAACCATAATCCAAAAGTAATTACTTATTTATTAGTAATGCATAATTAATTTGGCAGTAAATTAGTTAGTCTTGATGATAATATATAAATAGTACTTTCCCTTTCTAAATCTCGGAATAATCCATTCAGGTTTTTCATTTTCATTTTATTGGTAATGCATTTGCAATTTAAAAGATTTTTTGTGACTAAGAGCCAAAGATAAAAGTATTTTAAAAATCCAATTTGTTTGGGAAATAAAATTTTTACATGTAACGCAAACTGTATTTAGTGAGATATTTTTTAACAATTTAAGCTCTGGAATTTCTAATAAATTTTCAAGCAGATTTGTTACTGTTATAAATAACTAGGTGGTTGAAGGTTTAGCTGATGTAGAATAAATAAATTTAGTGTTTTACTACATAAAGCGAATGCATACAATTTTGCAGTACCATTTATTTAACAACACAATATCCGGTGTAATATTCACGGCGAGTGGTACAAAGAAGTTTACCTAACATGAGTTTAATTTTTAACTGGTCATATTCAAAGTACTCGTTGTACAATGGTACAAAGGCAACGGTTTGACTGCATTATAGTTTTGTAAGGTTGGTAATGAAGTAGGCAGAATACATTGTTTTTTAAACTAATCAAACTGAAAATATAACGTCTAATTTATAGTACATGACTATTTGTTAGTCATTATTGTAGTTTTATTTTTTTATGGAAAATTAAAGTAGAAAACTACTGGTTGATAGAAACTACACTATTTTTGTTAATTACTGAGGTCCTTCCTATGGGGCCTTAGTATTACATTCGTGCAGACGAAAAAATTTTCTGATCCCCATTTTTAAAAACTTTTTTCATGTTTCTGATCATTCTGGGTCCGAAAATGCCGGCACGATGACTCTAGAAGGAAAGTTCTGATTGACTTGCGGTTTTGATTTTCTTGAATAATTCTAACTTAGAACCCTATTGATTTTCAGAATATTCGGTTCATCCTAACTACTTTAATATCAATTTTCTTAAAATCCGCCTATGCATTTCAATTTTAGGAATTTCAATTATTTCTAACGTCAACATTCCTAACATTCTTTACATTCCATAAATTGCAAACGACCTGTCAAACAACACCTGTTGATAGTAAAGGTGAAATTTCTAAGGCGGGTTGCGACTTTCGCCAAGCCTACCTATTTAAAAAAAAAATATATAAGCAGTTTCTTAAAAATTACTTTTTTATAGTGGTGCTAACTTAAGCGTACTACTATTTCGCTCCTAGCCACAAAGATACCATCAAATTTACTGGCTCTCTGACGCAACCCCATAGAATAATTAACAGGCCATTTTATTTGGCAAAATCAGAATAATGCTTGGCTGTGCCTGTCAAGTATCAAGATGTCAACTGTGATATGTGAATGGCTCTTAAATATCAAATTATTTAAAAATGTATGCTTCTTTTGATATTTATTGCAAATAATTTGTAGTGTCTCTCAATTCAGGATTTCCATAAATAAAGATACAACAATACAGATAATATAATGTTCTTATACAAAGCAATTTTTATTATATGGAAGAGAGGTAGGATATAATGCTGTTTTTTTTTGTAGATAATTTTAATTATACGATTTTGGATTACATATTCAACCAGCGAATTGTAAATAATAATTAGTAAACTCCTAGTCATAAAAAGGGCAGGTTTAAAAAGTATTATCACAAGAAAGTATATCCGTTTTGTTTATTTATCAAGTATTGTTTGAGGTTACTTTTAAATACATTTATTGTTTTTTTTTTTAATTTCTGTAGGCAGTCTATCAAATTTTTTAAACCTTTAATAAAAATTATATTTTGGGAACTTTTAGTGATGGCTTGCCGTACATGAAAGTTAGATTGGTTCCTTGTATTATAGTTAGTTGTGATATTACGAATTATACTGAATTTTTTCTAATAGATCTGATGCGATGGTACTATGTCATTTTTATTTTATAAATAAATATCAGTCATGTACTGAACATAATTCTGAACTGAAAGCCAATTTACTTCTTTTAACATAGTTGCAATACTCATCCTTCTGTCCTTTATTAATAGAATATAAATAGGCGAAGTAAGGAGCCCAAATATTTTACATGAGCAGGCTTAAGAGGGAAAGGGGCCAATTATTATTGGATAAATTGCTCGAACAAGTTTTTAAACCCTAATCAAAAGGCGATTTAAAAATGGTTTTAAAAATCAAGGCTTTTGAAAATCATCACATGGTTTAACCTAAGTAATGCCAATGCTTCACAAACCAAAAAATTCAACGTCCTAATACTACAATCGGCTTTCGGTCTTTCGTTCCAAGTTAATAATTTTTTTTTTTTGAGTGAGGGTAGCCATATGTGAGTAGTAGGGATTAAGTGTAAGGGGTTAAAGAAAAGGTCCTTTATTTCTCACAAGTCTTGACTTGTGAGAAATAAAGGACCTTTTCTTTAACCCCTTACACTTAATTAATCATTTCTTGTTTTTATTACGCTACGAGTTTACCCAGTCTCGATAAGGTGGGAACCACCATTTTAGCGTCTCTCGAATTAAGTGTTATTTTTGCAATTTTATTTAAAAAAAGTTGCTCAAAGAGGCCTCCAATAATATTTGTGGATGCTTAAAGACGGTTTACACTCACATTTCTAAGCATTTCCTAAGTAATTTTTAAATGAACCTAAAAATATAGTAAATTTAGAATAAAGTAGGTATAATAGAATGTGTGTGGTTGGTTACTATTAGTATTTATTTTTTACTAAATGTTAAAGTCCCATTAGAAATTGTCTAAAACTTATTCAGTCGATTATTTTTTTCATCTGTCAAATTAGTCTTAACGAATCATTGAATTTTACACTGATTAAACTGCTTCGTTGTTTTTGTTTACCTTTTGAACTGACAACTATACATAAATTAAAAACTTATTAAACTGAAATGTACCTCAAATATATGTTAATACATACCTAAATTTAAAATTGTTAATTCTATTGCAAAATTGGTAATATTTATAAGAAGTATAACTAACCTGTTTTTGTTTATGTTAAATCACTTATAACACACATAAAACTAATTCACATCAACACTCAATTCTAAATTAATTAAAATTAAACAGATCAATTTTAAGACACAAAAATCACAATAAAAATTTTAAAATTTGACAAATTCAGTAGTAATACTATAAGTACTTCAAAATAATCAGGTTATACATCGATAACTTGTTGCATAATTATAAAGAGTGTCAGTTTGACAGTTTAAATAATCCGACCGCGAAGCGCCCTGTAATTTTTTTTTTTAAAATACCTATTTTTTCGAAAAGTTTTATAATATTTCAAGAGCCTAAAAATAGCCAAAAATAATAGTGTAATTTTTAAAACTTAAAAAAACTGAGGTGCTCTGCTGACTTCGTTCCAAGCTAGCAGAACACCTTGATTTTTGCAAAAAACGAGGAGCATAAAATTTTTGAATAGGGTATAAAATAGTATTAAAATAGCCTAAAAATATGGCGCAGGTTTTGACTCAAAATTCCCTAGGTGCTCTGCTGCCTTCTTTGGCATTATTATAACCGTAGATCCATAGTTAATTGAACATTTTTAAAAACAGTAGATACCTAATAAAATAATAAACTGCTGTTTATATAAAGATATTTATAAATATTATCACCACACCCTTAAAAATATGCAGATATCAACAAACTGTATCACCTTGCCATTTGAAAACTAGTAAAGATATTAATTTGTTATTATTATTAATATTTAATTTATAAAGACAGTGAGGTGTATAAAAAAAAGTAAACAACATAAAATTTACTAAAAAACTTACCGATAGAAGTTGGTTTATTATCGAATAACAGGGTTTCACCACCTATAGAGGTAAAATAGGAAGGTGGTGTTTATTATTATCCGAAATCGTCAAAAATAAATACAATGTGATATTTATGACCGTAGTCCATTCATTGGTTTCACGTTCGAATCAATTAGCTACTGTGTAAAATGTGCCCAAGAATCCCTAATAAGTAGGCAACACTAAATGCCAAAACATGTTCCCTACCTAATAAGAAGACAACACTTAATGCTAAAGCAACATTATTAGAAATTCTGTATAATTTCGGAAGGAACTCAGTATCCGAATTTTCAAATAACTGTGTTAAAAATTTAGTAATTTATTATAGGAATCTTAGAATTGACATGAAAATCTCTATCAAAACCTACCTCTACCTTTCTGATAGACCGATTCGTGTCCAATTAACGTTTTGAATAATTGTTACAGAAAGCAACCCAAGGCTTTCGCTTTCGACCATTGCTTTTGTTCAGTGGATCCCAGTAAAAAGGACTTCGCTTCGCAGGAGGTTGTTTTTGATTGTTTGGGAAGAGACATCCTTGATAATGCCTTTCAGGGATACAACGCTTGTATTTTCGCTTATGGCCAAACAGGTAAGTCCAATATTTTAGCATCCAATTAATTTTATTAAATTACCAGATTTAAAATAAAAACTACAAGGCGTAGACATACAGGGTAACGAAAGGAAAATTAAATTTTGTCGGTTAGATCAACGAAAACTAATGAACATTCGGTAGGGAATTCAGGAATACATTCCTAAACAACCAAAAAAGAAACCAAAATAAAACTGGTAAGAGTTCCTTATATATTTCAGTTAATAATACACCTTGCATTCTCTTAAAACTGATTAGTTTTGTAAAGTTTCTATGCCTATCCCACTTATTATCACTATCTTAAAAAAGATTTAACCCTGAACTGGTATGGTGATTTCTAGGCTACACAACTGGTATTGTTGGGTCGATTTTGACCCAGCCCTAATTTAAGAGGGGAGGTTACACTTTTTTTGACTTAGTGTATTTTAATTTCTTACTTTAAAGGAAACAAACCTACAAATTAAGAAAACTGAAATTTATTCAAATTTTTAAATACATAAACACGAAAATAAAAAATATGTATTAAAAAAAACATCATTCAAGGTTTTTAACAAAATAATTTTTCTTTTGACATAAACACCATTAAAATATGCCTGATTAGAAAAAACATGATATAAACACACTGGGAAAATAAAAAAACGTTACAAAAAATGCCCAAACAAAAATCTAACGAGGGCTTTTTAGGAACCAATAAGGAGGCTATAAAACTAATTATTAAAATCTTTACATTCATTACAAAAATTTTGTTGATGCAAATGATCCTTACAAAAGGTTTTTTTGCATGTTGTACAATATGTAGCATGTTTTCTGTCAATTGTAGATGGACACTCTTTACATCGTCTTCTTTTCAGTGGCGGCTCGTCTCGCTCAACTGCGGGATCTGGAATTTTTAGAAAGGCTTTAATTTTTTGCCTTAACTCCTTAGGCAGATGTTGATTTTCATATCGTCGCCTCATATGTTCCTCAATTAAATACAGTCCCAAGTTTTTAATAAATGATTTTCTCGACATTTTCAAATTATTAACTGCAAAGTTTAACAATACATGACTGTTTACAACGGCTATATTCAATATTGCATAAAATATTGCAAGTGGCCATCGCCTGGTTCTGCGATTACATGAAAACACTGCACATTTTTGATCAAGGGAATCTACTCCACTTTTTGTTGTATTATAAAAGTCAATAATTTCTGGTTTTCTTGTTTGGTCACTTTTTGTTATTTTATCGTGATGTAAAGTTGAAACCAGTAATACGCTTCTATTTTTTGCGGGAACATATGATACTAAGGTAGTATCTCGTGTAAATCCAAATAATGACGAATTCACTTCACGGTGTCTATTAGCCAAGAATTCTTTAGGAATTTCCCGCTTGTTTCTTCTAATAGTACCAACATACGTCAATTTATGTTTTTTCAGTTCTTGTAAGAGTTCCAGGGATGTGAACCAATTGTCGCCTGTGACGTTTCTATTACTCCCTGCTATAGGTGTGATCAGCTCCAAAACAGTCATCGTAGGTATAGAAAGATGTCTTGGATTCACAACATTTGGATTTTTGCCGGTGTAGACAAATGCATTTAGCAGATAGTGTGTTTTTGAATCACACAGGCATAAAATTTTTAGACCATATTGTTGGGGCTTACTTTTTATATATACACGGAAGCCACATTTGCCTCTGAATCCCACCAACATTTCATCAATAGTTACGTACCTATAGCTATTATAATTACTTTTGGAGTTTTCTATAAAGCTCTGGAAAATTTCAGATATTGGGGCTAACTTATCACCACCAGCTTTTCTAGCTTCTCTTGTATCAGGATCATCGAAACGTATCACTATAAGTAGGAAAAGGAATCTTTTCAAAGACATCGTAAGTCTAAAGATGTCTCGTCCCGTGCCATCTGTAGCCCACAAATTTTCTGCATCTTCGTGGGCTGATTTGAAAATTCCAGATAGATACAACAAGCCCAACAAGGCTTTTATTTCAACTTTGTCTGTATGACCTACGAAAGTAGAAGTATTTCCGTACTTGTGAGATTCGTCGGTTATTTTACGATTAGTGTGCTCTACAATTATATCAAGTATATTATCAGTCACCAAATGAGACCATGCTTCATAAGGTGTAGTGGGTATGTTGTTAGCAGCAGGTCCTTTCAGCCACGGAAGGTGAAGAATCATATTTTCAGCTCTTGTTCTAGAACTTGCAGGAGGACTCTTGGACCACTTACATCTATTTTTTCCAAAGAAGTACGCTCCTACATCTTCTTCGCTGCCAAATAGTTGATCATCATCATCATCATGTTCTGATTCTGTATCAGTCTCACTTTCAAATCTCTCAATAATTCTATCACTGAAATCACTATCACTCTCTTGAAACTCGTTTTCCAGTGGTGCTTCATTATCACTGAAGTCGGATAAATTGTTTATAATGTCTTCCAACGCGGCTTCAGTTAGAGGACGATTCATTTTCAACACGAGACAATATTTCAAACGGGCCGCGTAACTAGTATCGTTGGGTCAAATTTGACCCGAACGGTACGTACCGGGAAGATAGCAAATGGCAACTGACGCGTGAACACTACACTCGTAAGTACGTCAGACCCTCGAGGAATACACGCAGTCTCAAAAATGTATTTCGTTTAGTTATCTAAATATTTGCGCCTAAAATCGCTCTGGGTCAAAATTGACCCAACAATACCAGTTCAGGGTTAAAAATGGTTTAATAAAATTCTCAATATACTCTTACGGACTTTGAAACGTTATAGGATTCTCCCTTTTACTCTTAAAGCAGTTTATGCAGCCCTAAGGCTATCTCGCGAATTCAAAAGTCTTAAAAAAGGGTTTTATATCTTGTATACTTTGATATATCTAAAAATGTCACTTGGGTGTAATTTTAAGTAACATGTTCACATAATTACAACCATGTGATTCTGGCAATTAATAATGTCCGTTAGGCGAGTACACAGGGTGGATCATTTAAAAGTTCCACTCCTTTTGTCTACTTTGTTAATTATTGAGATATTAGAATGTTTGTAAGCTCGAAACGAGAACTTTCTTATTATTCTGTGACGTCATGGCTTACTTCTGGATTTTATGGAAACAACAGTAAATTACAGTTGATGTTTTAAGTATTTGACAAAAATTATGATTACACATTTAAATATGAACATTTTTTTTGGAAATATTTGTGGCGTGCAATAATTTTCACATATTTTGAAGAGAACGTTACTCATTAGACTTAGAATGTTGTTGTGTCTCTTTCGTATGGCTAACAAAATTGATTAAATATATTTTTAATAAATAATCCCCAGGTCCCAAGCAGGCCTTGCCCTTGTATCGTTAATTACGTGTATAACCATTTTCAAGAACCCTATACACGCGAAATAATCAGGGAATTAAAATAATGGCACACGCGACACCCAATTATTGTTATATGCGTCGTCGCAATAGTGCGTACATGCTATAACATGAGCCATGAGCCCGTACGAGGTTCGATTGAAAAGTATATAACCTAGAAAAGACAATTTATTTTTTTCTCCGAGCGTGTAGTAAATGCTACCTTTCCACACACATTTCAGTTCAGAACAGATTATTTCTTGCACTCATGCCCCAGTGCGGGAAAGTAAATAGCATTTATTTAAAATTTTGAATAGTTTACTTTTGCGTTTTAAGAATATTTTAGTTTATATTTAGAATTAATGTTCGTTCGTGATATTTTTTCCTATGACTACTTGGGAATGTGGCACTTATTGTACTATGTAGTCTTATGCCCTATTGGGATCTGAAAATAAGCGATACGCCCTCTACTGTGAACTAATGAACTAAATATAGTGGCGTGGCCATTTGACGTTCTGTCAAGTTTTGTTTATTGTTTATCAGGTCATGTCAATAGATGTTATCATATGTATTAAAATATTATATTATTTGGAATATAAGTGGAATATCAGTGGAATATTAGAAACACACTTGTGGGCCTCAATGCAACTCTAAAAAAAACTGACCCTTCTCTTACACATTTTATCTGCTTCCTAAAGCTGGTAAATGTAGGATAATTTTTATAAAATGTAGGTGGAAATTCTGAAGTTGTGGATGCAAGAAATGTATGGTTACAAAAGTCTCTTTAGGCAGTCTTTGTGAAAGGCTTCATTTTTGTTTCTTATAACAGGTGATCGATGGTCACCCACGCAAACATCAAATTTTGATTCATCGCTTAAAATGATTCTTTTACAGTCTTCAAAAGCCCACATTGCCTGTTCCTTTGCCGACGCTAATCGTCTTTTCTTTTGTTTTTCCGTCAGCAACGGCTTTTTTTTGCCTAAACCAATGATTTCACTGCATAAATATGAGATTTTCCTTAAACGTAACCTACGTACCTTATAAAAATATAAACCAGACTTATGGATCCAGCGACACGTTTCTCGTGAAACATTTTCAATTATTTTTTCATTCCATTTTGCTGTTATTTCCCTTACAGTACTTCGGCGATCAGTTTTACAAATCCGAACAAGAGATCTTTGCATTCGGGAAGTGACTTTGCGTGGCCGACCAGCACCATGTCTTGAAATTTGAGTTGAACCTGTTTCTCCATATTTTTTCACAATATCTGACACCGTGGATTTTGCGACATTTATTTGTTTAGCAATATCCCGAAAGGTTTTTAAACAGTTTTACTATTAATTCTCTAATTGTACCATTTGTTGCTTTACCACGCGACATTTTGGAGCCAATTGATAATCGAATTAATTCTCAAGTTAAAATGTCAAAATAGAAACAATTTTTTTGTTTCCATGGCTTGCTATTATTTGTTTTACTAACGTGTCCGAACATTTATATGTCAGCAAATATTGCATTTTTATCAACATTAGTTTGGTTTTATTAATTAATATTAGTTTATTTGAAAACAATTTCATAAATATGATGTAAACAATACATATTATGTCTTATAAATGAAAAACATATGATATTGAATCCCTTAAGGAAATTTTCTCAAAATCAGTTCATGTC